ACGAAAGGTTTACCACTTTTTTCCAAATTACAAGGAAACGACTTGGCAGATCGTCGCACAAAACTGACGAACAATAGTCTTCATTGAGATACATCAAATGGCTTTCAAATTTCTGAAATCGGTTCAGGCGTTTTTGAGAAAACGGCGACCAAAGGTCTAATTTTGACAAATGCCAAAAAAAACGATACTAATTTTTGCAATCTTTGACGAATTTTTAAAATTAAACGACTTGTCGTAGGGCCGTAATATTTTAGTATGATCTATAAGACTATGGTATCCTACCGTCAAAAAAATAATAATAAAAATGGTCTAAAAAATTTTTTTAACACGTTATTACACGAAAACGGCCCGGCCGATCTCTACCAAAAACTAATCAGCACGATTCCCAACCAATATCTTTCGAGCGGTTTTTGAATTTTCAAAATCGTTTCAGAATTGCGGGCTAAAACGTAGACAAAATTTTTTTCACAGTGACAAACAATAATCCTCATCGAGATACATCGAATGGCTTTTAAATTTTTGAAATCGGTCCAGCCGTTTTTGAGAAAACGTCGATTTTCGGCAAAAAATCTGTTCACACACACACATACTTTTTCCAAATTTGGTCTCATTCGATTCAGAATGGCTTGAAACGTCGAGAAAACATAAAATTACCAAATCGGATTTTTGAAGAAAACATAAACTTCTCCTTCGGGAAGTTAAAAATATTTCGAACCGACTTCCTTTTACTGCCTCAAATGTGTAAACATAATTAACACAATCGTGAAATTGACAATTTTGCAAAAAATGTGTTATTCGATTTAACTATAACTTATTCCTTATTAATACTAAGAATAAGTAAAAGTGTATATGTATGAACTCACCGAGCTACCCGCAACGTGGCCGAGTGGCTAAGAGCTCAACTCGCAAATGCAGAGGTTTCCGGAACGAATCCCGCTCGAACGCACTAAGCAAACTGCATGCAAAAGTAAATTTATGTAGACACGAATTAGTTCAAGAACAAAAAAAATAAAACATTTAATAGTGAAAAAGACTTACCAGAAGAGTATTCTGAAGCAGACCACAGTGACGGCGATATGATTACGACTGATGCGCTGGCCAAAAACTCGGATTTAAAAATTGTTGTTTAAATTAAATGACATCATTCGTGCTATTTCGTTTTTATTCGAATTATAGTCGACGTGTTACGGTGCAAAATGATGAATAACTAGATGTTTACTTATTTCGCCGACATCTATGCGAGGAACACATCATTGCAACAGTTGAAGATACGTTAAATTTTCAAATATTAATTGAATTTACAAGTGACCCAAGAAAACATATAAAATCTTTTATAAAAATTATAGATAAATTTTTGGTTATCACTTTCCAATATCTTTGAATATATTATATGAAAATAAAACATCAAAAACTTAGTGAAAAAACTAATAAATAAATATAAAACGGCAAAAATTGATATGCACAGAACAGAAGAATGATTCCAATTTTACCAAAGCTCTAGTTTATATTTAAATGCTTTTCAAACTGAATTTTTTCTAATTTATTTCAGGACAATTACGGTGAACTCACCGTGTTTCGGCTTGACATTGAGTTCCGGGACAACTTGTATTTATGTAATATATATATATATATATATATATATATATACATATATATTACATATATATAAAGTTATTTAGATGTCATTGTGACAGTAATAAAAACAAATATGCATTAATTAAAATATAAAATATAAAATATAGGCATAACTTTGGGCTTTTTATTTATAATGGCAAGGTATGAATATTCGAATGTGAATCCTTTAAGATAAAATAATAATATTCATTATTTGCAGCCAGAATGATATGATAGCTAAAGAAAATAATGATATTTTATTGAAAAATGATCCAAATAATAGAACACCCGCTCACGTGAAACATGCACCAGTACTATGCAGTATTTCTCTTAAAGCCCAAGTCAATTATGAAAAATTTCTCGACATACTAAAGGACGAATTTGAGAGAAAACGAGAAAGTAAAATTACTAGACCTGAAACATTAGAAAATTTTGAAATCCTGCAAATGATTGGCGAAGAAAGTGCTTCAGTTCGAATCGTAGGCGTTAATATTATTATTTAATTAATATAATCAAAATATAATAGAATATTTCAGTCGCTAGGTAGATCTAAGACGAACAACATATACTATGCATTTAAAATATATCTAAAGGAAGCGATTATCAAATCAAAAACTAAAAAGCAATTATTATCTGAGAAACGATTATTGCAAGCATTTCATTTTCCGTTTGTAATAAATTTGGAATTCTGCTTTAAGGATAATAACTATATTTATATGGTTATGCCGTTTATGATTGGTGGAGATTTATTTTCCCAGTTAAAAAGGTATTATAATAAATATATATATATATATATATATATATATATATATATTTGGGTTTTAAGATCGGGCGTTACATGAACAAAAACTTGAATGAATGTTTTTGCCCGTAGGGTAAATTAATCTTTCAAATATCGAGAATAAATTTTCTTGCAGATTTCTACCTTTCAGAGCTTTCTGAACATTTTAGCTTACCACAGAAAAAATGGATGTGTGTGTATATGTATGTATGAAATTTGAATTGAATGTTTTTGCCTGTAGGGTAAATTAATCTTCCAAATATCGAGAATAAATTTTTTTGCAGATTTCTACCTTTCAGAGCTTTCTGAACATTTTAGCTTACCACAGAAAAAATGGATGTGTGTATATATGTATGTATGAAATTTGAATTATTCAAAAAACATCAGATACCTAATTATCAATTTGCCAAGGAACGATGCCATGTACCACTAGTTTAAATTTATTTGAAATCCATACCAATAATAATAAACTAATCTGAAAACACAATTTGGCTTACAATATTACAAATAATGAAAATAATACATATTATATTCCTCCATGGGTTTAATTAATTCTAATATAAAGATAGCAAATTGGTTTTATTGGTTTATTACTATTATTTTTTAATTAAATTGTTACAAATTATTTACTAAGGTTAATTGTTATAGCTGATAGTATATTCCACCAATTGGAGGCTAGGATGTCAGCCGAAACATTTTTGTATTGTTTAAAGAACACCCGGTCTTTAAACCTATCTAATATATATCACATCAACATCAAATTCGAGATTATTAACATAAATGTTTATTTCATGTATTCAATCAGACTTGGCAGATTCAACGAAAATCAAGCAAAATTTTATGCATCACAAATAATATTAGCCTTAGAATATCTTCATCACATGGGTGTAATACATAGAGACCTTAAGCTGGAAAATATTCTGGTTGATAAAAATGGATACCTAAAATTAACTGATTTTAGTTTCAGTAAAGTAAGAAAAAAAATAGACTAAATTTTATAAAACTGTAAATGAATTATATTTATCAGAAATATAAAATATAGCATTGAACAAAATTCTATTATATCCTAATCTATTATTACCTCGGCTAGATAACAGACGATCGCACTGCAACTTTCTGTGGCACACCTGAATACATAGCTCCAGAAATAATCATGGGAAAGACTTATGGAAAGGCAGCAGATTGGTGGTCTTTTGGCGTTTTGCTGTATGAAATGGTATCAGGTCATACACCCTTTTATGCAAACGACACAATGAAATTATATGAGAAAATTGTACAAGGCAAATATAAATTTGATGAACACATTGGGAATGATATCAAAGACCTCATACGCAATATTCTGCAAACGGACCCTAGCAGGAGGTAATTTGACTCAAAGATTAGAAAGTTAAAGGAACAATCTTTTATAAATTATTAATTATTTTAAGATATGGAAACTTGTACAGTGGTATATTAGATTACAAACATCATAGATGGTTTCTTGGCACAAATTGGACTGCAATGTTAAATCGCAAAGTAGAAGCTCCTATAATACCCAAAGTAAAGGGACCAGGCGACACAATCTATTTCAATAAATACCATGAAGTACCACTTAAAATATCACCAGAGAATCAATATGAAAAGGAATTTGAAGATTTCTAATAATTTTTAATACCCCATTATGATATGAAGGATTTGGTTTCATACTACAACTCTTCATATTAATCTAGTTTTATTTTATCAAAATATACAATGGCAAAAAAAATAAAATTTACACTAACATTTTTAAATATAAAGTAACTTATCCTTATATTTTTCTAATTACATTCAATACACAAATATCTATGAAAATTCACATTCTTTTAAATTTAATTACTGACATTGATGGTGGCTGGCTTGTCAAACTTAAAATATAAAACTAACATATACGGATGTATACAATTATTAATATTGTCAACAAATGATGGCATTAAAGTATTGTCCTATATATAAAGTTTGAAAATTTACATAAAAAATATGAATAATTAAAAAAAAAAACTCTCACTCCCGAAATGAGTGTAAGTATGATGTACATATAATCTATTCATGCAAGTGTATTAGGTGTACGAACTGAGAAATCTGAGAATGTTTTCAAATGTGCTTCAAAGTCGTAGTAGTCACTTAATAAAATTAAATTGTTTAAACTGTTACAGATTAGGCCAAAAAAAATGTTAAAATTTTTTCATTATTTACAGACAAAAATTTATAAAAAGGTTTGCTCAAAAAACTTACTGCAATAGTAAATTTTTATTTTTAAATTGTAAATTATTATATCCTTTTACAATAAAGGTATTTTCTGCAATGATTTCAACAAAGATGTTTTTCAAAATGTTATGGAATTGATTTTAATAATAGGTATTAACATTATTAATTATAATACCACTAACTTGTAAAAATAACTTGTTGAATTATCAGTTGTAAATTTAAAGTATCAGTTTTAAAGTTTATGGTAATAATTAAATTCACAAATAATACTATAGTTTCCTATGATATTCATTATTTCAATTACATTTCAGTTGTTAAAAGTGTAATTATTATTTCTGCAATAAAATGCTTTGCAATACATTCCACCATTTGTTAATCATTTTTCAATATTGCTCATCATATTATTATATAGAAATAAACTAATTATTATAAATACCTAATTTAAAAAATACAAAAATATTTCTTTTAACTAAAATAGACACAGTAATTTAAAATGAGAGTTACTGAGGAGGTGGCTGATAACCATATCCGTACCCTTGCGGAGGCGGAGGCGGGCCTTGTGGACCAGGTGGTGGCATTTGTCCAACTGGTTGTCTAGGATACTGATAGTTTTGCCCTGGAGGCGGATACTGGGATGGTTGCGAATAATTTTGTCCAGGATGTGCATAATGATTAGGTGGAGGTGGGTAATTATTTGATGGAGGACCATAGTTCTGATTTGGAGGAGGAGGGCCATACTGCTGCATTGCAGCACCGGAACTTACAGGTGGCTGTGAGTTAGGCGGAGGCTGATAGGCTGCAGGAGCCGGACTTGATGACTGTGAACTAGGTGGGTAACTTGACTGACTAACTGGAGGTAAGTAACTTCCTGAAGGAGCAGTTGAGCTAGGTGGGTACTGATTGGATGCTGTAGGGGCAGAATTGATAGGAGGACCACTTTGAGCATATTGTAAGTTCTGTGATACTGTAGGAGATGGGGAAGTGAAAGGTGGTGACTGAGCTGATGGAGGACCATATTGCACAGGTCCTGGACTCGGCTGGTTTGCATAACCTTGTTGCCCTGAGGGTGCAGAACTTGGAGGCTGTGTTGTAACTGGTGGAGCAGGTGGTGGGTACCCCACAGGAGCTGGGCCATATTGTTGAGGATAACTCGGATTGGTAGGAGTACCTGGAGGATAAGCACTTTGTCCAGGTGGACCTGCAGGAACTGGACTTCCATAACTAGCTGTTGCTGAATTTGGAGGGCCATAATTACCCCCAGGGTTAGACGGACCATATGCAGCAGGCTGACCTGTGCTCACAGGTGTGTAAGAAGAATTAGCAGGAGGTGTTATTGGCGGTGGCGGGCCATAATTTTGTTGTGCTGGTGGTTGTTGAACAGGCTGATAAGCTGGTCCTTGAGGGCTTGGATAACTACCTGCTGCCTGAGCAGTCGTGGTAGATGTGCTATGAGAATAAGGGGGTTGGGAATTTGCAGGATAGGATTGTGGTTGACCTGCAGGTGGACCCCCATAAGGTTGTTGATTTGGGATTTGGTAATTAGATTGCCCTTGCTGTGGTGGGTATATATTTGATTGTTGATTGTTTGGATATTGTGCAGGATATTGGGAATGTTGATAACTACGATGGGGATAGTTTTGAGGTATTGCATTACTTGGTCTTTGTGGCAAATTTGATACTTGGTTTGGAATACCTGGAGAAGATCGATAAGATTGCTGCGATTGCGGATGATTATATGCAGCTCCAGGCTGACTATTTGGTGGGATTTCACTAGCTGGTGGTTGTCCTTGCGGTGTATTTAGTTGAGAACCATTAGAGCCATGTGGAGGAGGAGGTTGGGGACTAGCACCAGATTGAAGAACTTGTGGAGGCTGTAGTAATATGTTCACTTTCAGATTATAATTATAATTTCAAACTTCATAGCATCAATAAGTAACTTTACAAATATGATTTCAAATGAATGCATAATGAATACAAATTATTTGCTCTACACATAATTAGCATAATAAAAGTACTACTTACAGGCAAAAGCGCTTGTATATTTTGATTTGAATCTGCAATTGATGCTAAATAAACTAAATTCCTATGCAACACCTGTTGGTATTGCACGCATTCATTTGCTTTTCCTTTTGATTGATATTCTTGTATAGTTTGTATTAAATGACTATTTTCGTCAAGCATCTTTTGAATTTGAGCTGGATTTACAGGAGGCCGGTTCCCCCGCTGTACGAACGCCACAGACATATTGATCGAATAAATTAACTTAACTTCAAAATTAAAATTTAATACCACTGATACACGAATTACATTCACAGTTTTATACACAGTCTTATATATATTAACGTAAACTCAAAAATTTCGCATAACCAAGCGAAATCATAATTTTGCTATTACATCGAGTGAAAACTTTTTTTTCTTGTACTCAAATTCACAATTCGACATACACCTGAAGTTTGCAGATTATTCATGAAATAAGCAACTACATTATTAATTTTAAGCAACCAAAGAATATGATATATTACTGTAGTTTCTATCAATGGAATAAGTAGACGTTCCAATAATATATGATTTTATAATTACCGGTAAACTAATGTAAAAATATCGTGCAAAAAAACCTTTCGATGTAGACGTCATTTATGAACTTTCCAAGTTCAATTTTACTCGGTTGGTAACAGTGATAAATATGCCAATGGCGACTTTGGTTGATTTGTGCATTCTTATTTTAATAAATATCTCATTATTTTAATAATTTCAATGTATTTATAAAGTTTTTAATCGATTATAATAGTGAAGTTTATTAATTCATGCAGAAGTTATGAAATAAACTTTGATATGCCCCTTACTGCAGTGTTCTACAGTGGTTTGTAAACAATGTTTTCCCTCCTGCTTAGTTTTGGCATTTGTGCTGTCACTATTTGTTTACTTCTTCAGTAGCGCACGAACAGCTGTGCAATGAGGTTGTAAATGCGTTCGTGTAATTTTTTTTTAATTTCTCTGCGAATTCGCGTAACATAAAATAATTACAATAATGAATGAAATATCTGGAAAGGAAATACCTGGCCCATCAGCTTGGGATAATCCAATGCATACACAGCATGACTTAAACACCTCAATGCTCGGATCTCCCAAAATATCAAATGAAATTAATCTAATGACCTCTCCTAATGCTCCATGCACACCCCAGGGGCCCCCAGCAGTGTCAGTTTTTAATGATGACTTACATCCTGAACTTGTTCATCAGGGTTGGAGAAAATTTTGGTCTAAACGCGAAAATCGACCTTATTTTTGGAATAAATTAACTGGTGAAAGTTTATGGGAGTAATAAAAGCACAGTTCGATCCTATAACAGACCCTCTAGGCATATGCCATGCTGGACCTCAACCAGTTACAACTTCACCCATGGGTCTAAAACGCAGAGCTTCTGAGGATGGTGGACCAATAGCCAAAAAGTTATTTTACCGGGGCCATGGGATTTAGAGATCCCAACAAATGTTATAATTTATGAACGCGCTCCAACTATTGCTCCACATCCACATCCAGAAATTGAGGGTTACCGATGCGGTTTGACATCAAAGCTGAGACAATGTTATCAGGAACTTTGCCAGTCAAGAGAAGGTAGAAAGAAAGAATCTTCCTTTTGCATTCATACCCATCATTCTGCTTCATCATGAAAAAAAAACTTATATTTTTATTAGTGGCATTATCAATAAAACTCTATTCACAAATGTGTTTTCTTTACGTTTATTTTAATTTATTAGTTGTCTTCATCTTCCTTTATAATTTTTTCATTACTTCTGAATAAGTATTTATGTTTAATAATGTTAACAATGTGATATTGAAACTAAAAATTTAAAATATAAATTATAATGAATAAAATAAAAGTTAAGAAGGCTTATAACTTATTTCATTCGATTACAATAGAATATGATATTTTAGTTTTACTAAAGAGTAGAATTCCTATAATGAATAAGTAATATAAAAATTGATGATTTCTTGATATTTTACACAAATCTTAAACAGTAAAAAAATGTTTAATATTTGTTATAACAAAAATAAAATAAAAGGTTAATAAATAAATAAATAAAAGTTTCTTTAAATAAGTCAGTTTGATTCAATTTAGTAGATATTTTAAGATTAAAATTTTTAATTACCTTGCATTCGTTTCTATCTTAGGAATAAATGCACCAAAAGACTCTTTTAATCGATGGTTGATGGAACGAAAAGTAATTGATCGTGGTACAGATCCTTTGCTACCAAGTAACTGCTGCCCAGAACTGTCCATGTCTATGTTTCGAGAAATTATGAATGACATACCTATTAAATTAATAAAGCCTAAATATACTGGAGATGCTAGAAAGCAACTTTCTAGATATGCAGAAGCCGCAAAAAAGATGATAGAATCACGCAATGCTTCACCTGAAAGTCGAAAGGTAGTTAAATGGAATGTAGAAGATACATTTCAATGGTTGCGAAGAACTGTTGGTGCCACACATGATGATTTTCAGGATAGACTTTCTCACTTAAAGGTTAGTTGTATAATTCTCAAACAAGGGTTACAATAAAGTGTTAATGAAAGGAGATATATCATACTTTCTGTTAATATTTTTTAACAGTAGTTTTATTTTTTCAGAGACAATGTCAACCACATTTGACAGAAACAGTTAAGGTTTCTGTTGAAGGAGTTTGTTTGAAGATCTACCATCTATCTGCTGAACATGCGAGAAAAGTGAAAGATAAACATAGTGCACTGCTGAAAGAACAAGGCATAGAAGAGTTAAGTGCTCCAATACAACAATCAGCATTGCGAAAAGTATGGTGTTATCCCATACAGTTTGCAATACCTGCTACAAGAATGCCAATTGTAGACTATATGCCAGATAATAGATCTCCGGACCATACATTAGTAACATATCATAAAGATACAGTTGCAATAAATACTACACACTTGACAAAATTGGTAAATAAATAATTTTAATTAAATATTTTAAAATATGGAATTCAATATTCAAGTATTTTTATAGGAGCATCTGTACAGATACAGTTGTTTTGATGATAAAAAATTTGAACTATTCATTCCTCGAGTTTGGTGTCTGCTTAAAAGGTACAATACCTTTCTGGGGGCATATCCCGATTTAAGAAATGGAGCTAGTCCTTCTGTTGAAGGTCAACTTACACAAGCATCACTTCCCGTCACTGTCTTTGAATGTTTGAACAAAATGTTTGGTATTACTTTTGAATGTTTTGCAAGTCCTTTGAATTGTTATTTTCGACAATATTGCAGCGCATTTTCTGATACAGATTCATATTTTGGATCAAGAGGGTAATTCAACAATTTAGATTTTTGAAAACTAACATTTGCAACATTATTTATGTGCATTCTTTATGTAGGCCTTTTCTGGACTTTAAGCCTGTGTCAGGGTCTTTCCAAGCAAATCCACCATTTTCAGAAGAATTATTAGATGCAACTGTGCATCATATGGAAAGGCTTCTGTCTGATTCTCCAGAACCTTTAAGGTCACTATCTTATAAAATAAAGCTATTTCATAACATATTTGTGCCATAGCCAATACTGACATTCAATGATTCATTATAGTTTCATTGTTTTTCTTCCTGAGTGGAGGGAACCACCCTTAAATTCTTTAATGAAACTTGAAGCCAGCCACTTCAAACGGAAACAAGTAGTGGTGCCTGCATGTGAACATGAATATCGGCATGGATACCAACACCTTTTACCCAAGTAAGTTATAAAAGAATATACTTATAATAGAAAAGCAAGAACAAGAATCTTTTTCCTAATTTTATTAAGTTGTGAATGTGTTCGAGTTTTAAATAACTTTTGATACTCTTCAATCAATATAGTTGAGCTCCCATAAACATTATTTCATTTAACATGTTCAGGACGGATATAAATGTGCGTTCTGTTCATGGAACCTTGGTAGTATGGCTACAAAATAATGCAGGATACACGCGCTGGGGCCCTACAGAAGAGCGTGTCGAAGCACTTCTAGAAGCCTTTCGGCCAGGGAGAGAACGCGAACGAGATAAACAAGAACTTCTATCTCCTCAACGAGTTGTGGAACCAGAAATGTTGAAACCCTCAATAGCTACAGCGACTACGACCGCAATTGTTATACCGTGATTCGTTACAAAGTGAGCAAAATAGTGAAAAAAAATATGACTATATTATTTATGAAAATTCTTTTACTGGTAAAAGTAAATTCTTTCATCTTTTACTGGTAAAATAAAAATGACAACTTCAAGCTGAGACATAATTTAATAAGTTGAAGTTAATAAGTTCACACAAGCACTACTGCAAAAGCTATAATGCTTATGAATTTGAAAGATGATAGGTAGATAGTAAAATTATAAAATGAAGATGTGATGTCATATTATATATCGTTTATAAGGATAAGACCAATATATCTTCAATGTTAAAATATAATAGATTAGATTTTTTTTTATTAACATGTAATTTGTATAACTCTCTCTTTACATGTCTTAATTGATTTACGTGGTCTGTGGTAAATTCATAATTCACAAAGTATAAACATCATACTAAAGTTCGGTCAGATCAGATAGACAATTTGATATTGCTTACAAGCCAAAAAGTTCAATTTTCTTATACGTTTAGATATAATATATAGTTGCAGATGTAGGTCAAAAATCAGAAATCAAAGTTACATGTATAATTGTAAATCATTGCACATAAAATATTATTTTATGAAATAATATTTTGTCTTCATTTGTATACATAGTATACAAGTAAATGTATACTTTAAAAAAATGTTTTTGATTGTAGAAAAAAAAAATTGATGCAATGTTATGACAAACCAACATAATTTGAAAGAAAGTCGCTTTCTAATCAGTTTTGTAATATTACTATATGAATATGAAACTATTACATATAATTTAACAACTTTATTTCTATTTGTTGTTATTTACAATGACTTCAAAATTATTTAAAAAAATAATTACATCATAGAACCTTATTTGAAAAGTAAACATTAATACTTTAGTAATTTCTTTGAAAATCAAGAAGATATTAAATTTAATTAAATATTTCATATTCACAGAGTAATTCGAATAAAATTATAGGATTAGTCAAAACCCCATAAAAATGATTTACATCAACAGTGTTAAGTGTTTCTGTTAAGTTACTGCAAACAGTAGATATCTATAGTTATTATGAATTAATAGATAACTGAAAGGAATTTTAAATTATTTCAAATGAATTTTATTGTATATTTAACTATATATTGATTATCGTATAGTTATTATTGTTATAAATGTGATTAAATATTATTTTTATAAAAGAAAGAAATTTATTTATGACACAATAATATATTAGGAATGACACATAGAGATTATCATATTTTATGTTGTTTAGATATAAAAATGTGCTTTTTAACCAATTTAAAATGCTCATTCCAAATAATTTTAAATGGCCATCTATCTTATATATGGTTTTCTAGAATCTCAATAATTTTAAAGTAAAATTCATTATCTGTTAAGTACGTTAGAAAAAGTAGGCAAAATATTATTTTGTGCTTTTATTTATTTTTGTAATCTTGCTTTCTTATATCATAGATTTTATATATAATATGGAATGTTATTAGTAATATTTTGTAATGTGACATTAAAAAATGAATTATGAAGAAATGTACAAATGAATACATTTTTAATTAAAATGTAATAAAATGTATTATATCATAAAAAAATTATTAATAAAATGAAATTCAACACGGTTACTGGCTTCTTTTTGTATTATTTTGTTAATGTTAACAGGATTGAAATACAAATTATATAGATCAAAAAATCTTTGACTTAATATGCAATTGATATTTTTAATTTTCAAACCACAATGCTATTACCAAATTAAATATAGTTTTAACATTGAACACAAACTATCATTTGCAAAAATAATAAAGTAACCTGACAATAAAATATGATAACAACAGGATTCTATCTAACACATAAAAAATTATATTAGATTTATAATATTACATACCATAACAAATTTACCTGTATAAAAAATCCAACCATAACAATAACATAACCGTAAAAATTTGTCTGTCATCTAATTTTGACGTTTGCTTGCAAAGAAAGTTACATTTTATTATGGTTTTTCAGTTAAAGAAATTAAAATATTTAGGAAATGAAGTATAAGATAGAATTAAGCAACGATAAAATATTTCCTAAAAGTTCATCGATTTTTCCTCAGGAAAATGTAAACTATATACATTATGATGATTTAAAATATGATACATTTTTCGAGAATTATTTAATTCCAAATGTTCCTTGTATAATAAAAAACGCAACAATAAATTGGGAAGCTTCTAAGCATTGGATAATAAATGATAATATAAATTTTCAATATATAACAGAAAAATATGGAAATACTATTGTACCCATTGCAAACTGCTCAGTACAATATTACAACGCACAGAAAAAAATTGATATGAAATTATCTGAGTATTTAAATTACTTTTCTGGTCATCAAGAAATAAGTGAAAATCTGTATTTAAAAGATTGGCATTTTCACAAAGATATACAAGAAAATATTTATACAGTTCCTCTTTATTTTGCATCAGATTGGTTAAATGAATATTGCATAGATTTAAATAAAGAAGACTATATGTTTATTTACATGGGACCAAAGGATTCCTGGACACCTTTTCATGCAGACGTATTTTCATCTTTTAGTTGGTCAGCTAATATAACAGGCCAAAAACGTTGGCTGCTCTTTCCCCCTGATACTGAAAAAACCCTAGTCGATAATTTAGGAAATTTACCTTTTGATATTGATCAATGTGAAAAATTTACAAAAAATGGTACACAGTTTTATGAGGTCATCCAGAACCCAGGTGAAGTTCTATTTGTACCATCAAAATGGCATCATCAAGTATGGAATTTGAAAGATACATTTTCCATAAATCATAATTGGTTCAATGGTTGTAATATCAATATTGTATTTGAATCGATGTTATCAACTTTACATGATATAAAAAAGGAAATTTCTGATTGTAGTGATATGGATTCATATGATGACCATTGCCAACTTATGCTGAAGTCAATATTTGGAATGGATTTACAAGATTTTTTTAATATATTATATCATATTTCAATAAAAAGAATCAATAAAATAACATTGACCGAAGATATAATTTATTTGAAAGTTACTCCTTAGGATCAAATCATTGCAAATTTGACCTGGAAAGTATTTTTGACCTCCTGAAAGCCTTCATTGAAAATGAGGATGCAATGAACATTGATTGGTCTTCAAAAACATGTTCACCTGAACAACTTGTTATTCAAATTGAAAATACTTTAATGTAATTAGGTGTCTTCAATGAAATATTGTTGAAAATAAAATTAATATATTAAAAAATATTAATTACAAATTACTTTATAATTTGCTCATTTTTGATTGCTCTACTACTCCACTGGATATCAAATCATCTATTTCTTGTTTATTATAGTTAAGTTTTTGCAAAATAGTTATTGTATCTTTTCCAGGCAAAGTATTTGATAAATTTGCTCTGGTCATTCCAGGAGTTCTATATAAGAATGGTGCAGGCTTGGGAATCTTATGATTATACTCTGTACTACTTATGAAACTTTCTCTTTCCTTATTATGTTTATTATCTGGAGCTTCAGACATAGTTAAAACTGGTGTGACACAAGCATCAACATTTTCAAAAATTTCACACCATTCTTCTTGAGTTTTTTGAAGAAATTTATCTGATATAATTTTCTTGCTTTCTTCCATATTTGAGAATTGTGGTACGTCATTCACAGATAATCCCAAACCTTCTATAAATTTCACATAGAACTGTGGTTCTATGGCTCCAACAGCCATATATTTATTATCTTTAGTTTTATAAGTGTCATAAAAATGTGATCCGGTGTCCAAAATATTTTTACCTCTTTCGTTGCCCCAGATTGGTAAATGCTGTGATCTAGTGATCCAGCTTGCAACATAAGCTGCCCCTTCAACCATATTAGAATCTATGACTTGTCCTTTGTTAGATTTAAATCTCTCAAGTAATGCTAAAGCAATTCCAAAAGCACATAATAGACCACCCCCAGCAAAATCTGCTATCAAATTGATAGGAAAAGTAGGCTTTTCGTTGTATCTTCCTAATAAAGATAAAACACCAGAAATTGCAATATAATTAATATCATGACCAGCTCTCAAGCTGTATGGTCCTTTCTGACCAAATCCTGTTAATCGAGCATAAATCAATCTAGGATTTTCTGCCAAAAGAATATTAGGCCCCAAGCCCAATTTTTCCATAACACCTGGCCGAAAAGGTTCAATTAGAACATCGCTTACTTTACAAAGCTTTTTTACAATGTCAACTGATTTAGTATGCTTTAAATCCATAGCAATTGAAGATTTGCCATTACCTAAAACATCTATTGTATGTGTCTGTCCAACCTATAATATAATTTTAATGAGATCAAATATATTAAAATTATAGGTGGTAATTTCTACTTTATCTATTCTGGTAACAGATGCTCCAAATTCTTTAAGAATCATTCCACAAAACGGAGCAGGAGCCAAACCAGCAAATTCTAAAACCTTTATTCCTTGCAATGGCATGGTAAATATTTAAATAGTTCACTAATTGAACTTAATAATATAAAAGAAATTTTAGAAAACAGATAAGTCTAACAATGATTTGCACTGCCGCAGTACAAAGTGCGATTTCATTAGCATAACGATTTTGTTGGAATTTTGAATTCAATTCATCTAACAACAAATATTTCGATGTTATACATTTTTTATTTGCTTTGATATTTAAAAAACGTATGTTTGGATATGGTTAATCTATTTGTTTATAAGGCAAAATAAAAATAAAAGAAATAAATAAATAACAATCATTTTGACAGTTCGCCGCCATGTGCAATTTGACAGCTCTAATTGTCAAACAAAATAATCTTGAATATTTAAATTTGGGCGCGATTGATTTTCATATTTATCGGTACTATAGCAACCGTATAGATTTTTTTTAAATTTAGAAGCAATAACTATAAAGATATTATCCATGTTTTTATAACATTTATTTTGCAGATTTTTTATTTTTAATATATTTAATATGATCTTTTCATGATATTTGTTACGTGATATTCCAA